AGTAGATGGTCAGCTTGATCTTAGATTTTGCCTGCGGATTATTAGGTACAACACGGGTGAAATGAAAAGAAAACCATTACAAAATGAAATAAAATTCTCTAAAACATTGTGAACTCATGATTCGTTCTTAATATTTAAGGTGTATTCTAAGTTAGCGAAAGTCCAAATAACTGTCCATTCCTGTGAAATAATGGGCGTCGGCCCTACGGGCCTCCACTCCATTATTTCCCAGGAATGGACAGTTATTACGACTTTCTCTATAACTTATTTTCCTTTGCAATGACAGAAGTATGTTAGGTATGACATACAATGTATTCTGTAACAAAGAAAAAATATTTTAAGTGCATTGTACGGATATTAGATGCTCGCTTTCCCTATTTAACGAAATAACTAAAAACTTCAGGAGTCTCCCGTGTTGGAAATCTGAATTCAAGAACAAACCAATTACTTTTTAAGGTTGTGTGTCGATTTGATTTTTTTCTTGTGAACGAATTTTTAAAATCTTTGTTTATTTACCCAATACTAGTGGATATGGTACTTTGTGGTTCAAGTATTTCGAACATAACTGTTTAGGACAGAAACAATTATTCGTTAATCTGAGCAAAGATCATGTAAATGTAATCACACAAAAAGAAAAAGAAAGATAAAAAGTTTTTCCAGCAGTGTATGTCTGTAAAAAATGCGTGTTCTCCGAGAATTGTAAAGACGTAGTAGTCCATCATGCATTGCAACTCATTCACTGGGATTGGTCAATGACCCAGGTAAAAAATTTTGAGTATTATGTAAACAAAAAATTATATTGGCGGGACCATAGTATGCCAACAGGGCCTTAAATTGGCATCTTTGCAATATGAGGCACCAAAATAGGCGGGGTTTTGCGTCCACCTAAGCACACGGAAGCTGAGAAGTTTTTTATGCTTTATTCTGCTTTTCCCCAGATATTTTAATGGTTGTTATAGCCTGGGCACCTAGTCTACTTCTGGTCATTATTGATCTGGTCCAAATTTAGGTCGCAATTGCAGAATCCTACAGACAACTCTTAATAGAGCATTAGAATTTTATTTTATTTTAGTAGGAATGCGTGTTATATGGAACATTTTGATGGCATGTCTTTAAATTATTTTGTAAATCTCTTGAGGTAATTCCTCAGGCTATGGGATGTCATTTCGAAATTAAACAACTATGAAGACTATAATGTCGTTCATCAAACACTGGAAATACCGTGGAAATAAATAGAATCCATAAAGCATTTGTTTCATTGCACATCTGTCGTTTTCTACCCCTGCAGTGTATTTGCAAAGCCTTTTGGTATTTTTTATTCTCAATCCTCTTCAACTTCGTACTTTTTTTTGCCTTTTACTTTTCTTGATACGGGCCTCATTGGTGAGTCTTTTGTAGACGATAAGTGCATCTGACGTACAAAATTATGAGCCTGGTATACGTATCTTTGACGATTTTTTTTCAAATGTGTAAAGGTGCGATCAACAAGTGGGAATAAAGTGTTTATCCTGAAATGGTGATTCACGGTTTCAGCTGCTGCGTTTGTCCTTGTATAGTTGACGTTCAAATGTAAGCGGTTTGTTTGATCATTTTTTTTCATTCTTATTAGCGATAGTACATGGTCTATAAAACAAACCACTAAAATCAACCTGTATTAAAATTCAACATGAGCGTCCACAAATTCACTTGTGTAATTTCTTTATATAAGGTTCTTTTCTTTCTTACTTTTATCTTTTTTTATTATTTTTTGGTTTGCCAGCAATAGGAGGCAACTCCTGCATGCCTCTACATATTTACAGCCATGCTAAATTATACATACAAAAGTCATATAATCACAATATAACCTGGTATCAATTATCAAAAAAATGCCAAATAGTTTGTCGAAAAGTATTTATTGATTGATTGGTGTTTAATGCCACGTTCAGCACTATTGTGCTATTTCGTGGCGGTCAGTTTTTATTGGTGGAGGAAGCCAGAGTGCCCGGAGAGAACCACCGACCTTCGGTTGGAAAACTGACAATCTTAGTCAATTAAGATTGGAGTCGATCGCATCTGCGACAGGCTAGTGATACAGTATTTCGGCTGCTTAGACCACTCGGCCACCGAAGCTTCCTCGTAGGTATTTGACAGGTCGGGACCACTACAATTCTGTTGTCAGAATTCATTTCGATAGTAATTTCCCAAATACAAAATATAAATATGTTCGTTAGAAACTGACCAATCGACACAATGAACCACAATGCATTGTGCGATGTGGTCTACTACAATTTCACTAAAACCTGAGAACACGTGGAAATTGTTTGAAAAGTGTCTTTTTGTATTTGTATCTCGGAATCTTTTGTTTATCATTTATGCTCATCTTATGATAAATGTGTAATGTATATAACATAGTCTTCAATTTCCATGCTCAGATTAAAAAAAAATATTGTTCACCGGCTTCACCATTCCAGTTTATTTTTTGCCTTGTCAAAGTAGTAAAGAACAGCTTTTGTCTATTGTTATGCACTGTACCTGTGCATTCATTTCACGTTAAATTAATATCGAACTGTCCATTGTCCAGTAAAGCTCCTTTTAGCTCTTTAAACTAGTTAAAACAGTTTAAAATAATGGGTTAAATGATACTGAATGCTCTTGGAATTTTCGTATCACATATTCTTAATTCTTTCCATAAACAATGCTATTTCATAAAGAACAGAGATTATGGTACAGAAATCTTACTCGGTATTAAACATTACAGGCGGCAAAGCACCATGGCTTTAAAGACAGGCACATCATTTATATGCACATTCTATATGTTATATATACTGGGACACCTGTCTATTGTTGAAGAATTTATGTTGACCCTTAGTTGTCTTTTGGTTATTTTTGTCGTTTGGTTGCTGCCTCACTGATATTCACGCTACACCTAATTTAATTCCTACCCGTATATTTAAAAAACCTGTTAAATGACATTATATATTATTATACTCGACCACGTGTATGCGTCACACGGATATTTCAAGTGACCCTCGTTTTCCCAATTTTATGAGAAATGTGAAACGTTAAGGCGCCTCCTATTTTCTAAATCTGAATTCAGTTACAACTAATTATCTTTTGAGTTTGTGTGTCGTTAGGTTGCTGTCCCGTGAAAGAATGTCTACAATCTTTGTTTGTCGATCCATGATATTAGTGGCTAATGTTCGAGTATTTCAAACACTTTTTTTTTCAGGACAGAAATATTTATTCGTTAATTTGAGCATAGAACTAATATTTGGTATCATGGTCTGTAAATGTAATCACATAAATAGAAAAAGTAACATGATATTTTTTCCGGCAATCTGTGAAATCACGTGTTCCTTGTAAATTGTAAGCACGTAGGAGTCCATCATGCATTGCAACTCATTAATTGGAATGGTCAATGTCATGACCCAGGTAAAACAAATTGAGTATTATGTAAACAAACAATTATATTGACGGGAACATTAGTATGCTAAATTATGCATACCCGTATAAGGTAGTGTACCCGAACTGTTTGATAAACTTCTATTAGGGTAAATCATTTTAACTACAGGCTGTGTAAATAAGATCCTACTACAATCTTCAAATGAACAAGAATGAAAGAAGAATATAATAGTAATAAAAGAAATAAATGCCTAACGAAGGAGACAATCCTTATCCTATAAACAAAGGGTTATTTGTATGCATTGCGCAAACATGCGAAACACGCTTAAGGATGTCTGCTCCTCTCGTTTTTTTAACTTTTGTCAGATATTCGGAATCCATATAATGCCATTAAAAATTTTGCCCGCAAAACCCCTACTTTTCTTTCCATAATTTGTATATATATAGGTTTAAATGCCATCTTTGAAAATCTTATAAAATCCTTGTAATTTTTTCATAGGTTTTGAAAGAAAAAGATGCCAATGTTCAATGTATGAAACATCTAGAGAGAATCATTTCCCGCCAAATTTTCAATGGCTTATATCTTGAAAACAAGCATACGGACGCTAAACTTTTTTCTGCATTTTTAGTTCCTTTATTTATATACTGTCAATTATAACAGTCTTTTAAAAAGCTTGTTATTTTGAAACAGAGTAGCGAACATCCTTAAATATCTACATGGAAAGCCAAAATGTTTATAGAAACCACGAATATTGGCTTGCATGCAGAAGTTATTGCTTGATGCCCAATGTAACACCCGTTGAAAAATGTATGCATTGAAATCGTGAAAAAATAAAAACCCGCGAAGTTGTTCACGTTTACAGTCAACTAATGTTGATAATGTGTAGTGAATGAATAAGATGGCATAACCTAGACACTAAGTGCAGAAATGGTAGATATGATGACTTTATAATGTCATAAACATGTTGATATTGATATCTTCCTCCTCGAATTGCCAAGCAGCTTGTGTCCTTTTTGAGAAACTAAATATTAACTTTGTGTCCTATGAGAAATATTTTATACAGTGAACTTTTACCTGAAACTGAACATAAATCCATGTGTCAAATTACAATTTGAAAAAAAAGCAAGGTTTTCATTAACACTCCAAATGTATATTGCTCCTGACCAGTGATTAATCACATTTCGGCCAAATAAGATGGGTTCAATACATTATATTTACCGAAAAAGCAGAGTCATAATTAAGATAGATGATACTAGTGATTGCAAGTAGAACATACGTGTATTCTATATATGGTCATGGATTGCAAGGCTAGTGTATTGTCACAGTCGTGTTCTTGTTACATTTTGTAATTTAATATGCTGTCACGAATTTTAACTGTGATATTTTACATCACAACTGCATTGTATTTCAGGATAAACAGATCCCCTTTTTAAAAAGCATAATTGATAGTTTTACATTACCACACGGGACGTAAATGGATTTGTTCGGCAAGCATATGTATGATAAATTATTAAACATGCTTCGTAAGTAGTCTACTAAAACAGGACGTAATCTCAAAACGAAATGTCAACGGAATCATTCATTTAAAACTCTTGTTTTATTTATTAACGACTCGAATGATCAGATCGATCATACCTTTACAAGTTGGAAATATATGGAATGTTAATTATACATGAAAACATAACACTGGAACTTTTAATAAAGGATAAAATGAAAAGCAGGTAACCATTAAAATTTTGCTATTATTCTTTTCAAAATGTATCATATCATATATTATTAAAACGGATGCATTAAGGCAAATTGGTGGAGGATATCACTTATGAGTTGTTGTTAACCAAACAGTATTTTAATCGTGAAGGGAAATGACAATGGTTCTGATCATAAGTTGTGAGTAGCAACATTTGTTAGTTATATAGTTTATGAATATGTTAAAATAATTAGCGGTACACTGCATCAACTATATTTGACTGATTTTCTGTCTTTTTATCCTTGAGTACATCGACAGTACATCTAGAGATTTTCTTTTTCTTAAGTGTACAGAGAGAGTACTTTTAAACGTACAGTTTAACATAGGAATAGATATAAGTGGAATAGTTTCTTTTATAGGTATAGTTTATGTCGACGGCTAGGATAGGGAGTAAAAACTAAAATAAGTTACTCTATAGCTCCATATGGCATCGATCCCTTTAAGTAAAATTGATAAAATAAGCTGTACAGATTTTGGTTTATCAATTGTAACATAACTATTTGGAATCAGGAATTATCAAATTTTCATCGTTCACTATCATAAACCGGAACCCAGAAGACGTACTTTCCGATGCAGCTATTTTAACCTGGGTTATTTTATATACTAGATTTTACCATAATGGTGATTTCGAACTGCCCTTATTGCGCGATAATTGTCATAGCGAAGCGTTTTTTTTCATATACAATTACTTTACCACTTAACCAACCGGAGATCGAAACCGAGACGACACTGACACAGTAAAAATAATCACTCTACAAACTGAGCTAAACGAGAAGTTCATGTGCTAAAGTAATGGAAGGAAGTTATTATACCATCGGTATATAAAATATTCACTTCACTTGTATCAGAAGATACATGTATACTTACTTGCCCTATCAGCGCATACTATGGTCACTCTCCGTTTTGGTATTCATGAGATACCGATTGTTTGTATTCCAATTTACATGGAATTATGCTATATTACCTGAATATGTATATGTTTACCAAATGTTCAAAAAATAAAGAGATCTGATATAATTGCAAATGTGTCGACTATCCACCAACAGAGCAAAGAATATGGATTTAAACACTACGTGTATCTTTATAGTCAAGTGATAATTCAATTTAAAAGTAATGTCTTCATTTTTCACAAGTACCAACAGATTGCTTCCGGTTTTATTAGAAAAAAAACCCATAAGATAGAAAATAATGTAAAAGTAACTGTTTTTCAAACTTGAGAACCTTGTCCTCGATCTTGTTTCTACGAATTGTTTCCTTCTTAAGTCATGAATCCTGATTGCATGATAGCCATATGAATATCCCATATCCTTTGTTTTTCTATTATATCTTACTGTTTTTTCTTTTTATGGAGAATCGGGTTTTAATGGCAGATATATGAGTGTTTTTGTATTTCTTTTTTTCACAACTTTTATAGACTCGGGAGGATTAAGAACACTATGTATAAGCACTTGTCTATTGTAGAAGACTGTATGTTGCTTTTTAGACGACTTATTATTATTATTATTATTATTATTATTTTTTTTTTTATTATTATTATTATTTTTTTTTTTATTATTATTATTATTATTATTATTATTATTATTATTATTATTATTATTATTATTATTATAATTATCAATGTTAAAAAGAAATTGAATTAAAAAAAAATAGTTTGGTACTTTAAAAGTTACCGCTGTCAGTCAAGGATTTTTCGAACGAATGTTCAGCTTTTTCTCAGTGGGGAATAAATAAAATAAATGGAAACTTAATGTCATTTCGTAAATAATAACCCTAAAATTTGGATAAAAAAACGCTTACGGTAAGTGGTATTTTATTTTACATCATATTGCTATAATTGGACGTGCTGAGAGTCGAGAAACCAATAAAGTGGGAAGGTGTGTGCCACAGGGTGAATTTTTTTTTATCAACATGGCATTTGTTGATTTGATGGCACATGTGAATGCATATTTGATGTTTGACAAAAAATGAACAACAACAAAAACATTCAAATTAACGTTTTGTTCTATAGGGCAAAAGTTTCCTCGTTGCATGCATTTAGAATCATTAGAATTCAAAAGCAGTTAACAACAAAGAACAATAAATGAAATTAATAGAAACTCAAAAGGTATGTTTGTTTTTTATAAGCAGTTGTACCGGTCTTGCTGGTTCATAGGTCGGTTATTTTGTGATCAAACCAAGGTTAAAATTTCTCATTTGATTTAATATTGTTTAACATGATTTGATCATGCTTTCCAAAAAACCTATTGATAATTAAATGAAATAAAATAATATGGATTTAAGCTCGTTTAATGAGAAGTTAATATTTGTTTGAAAAAACAAACAATTTTATTTCGTTTATGATAAAAGCTAACTGGATTGGTTTATTAGCAAAATAATATATTTTTATTTAATTTTTATTTTAATATTTGCTTTAAAAGAGCCTAAAATCAAAATTTACAGGCTGTTTTTTTTTCTTTTCTCGTAATCCATTTAGAATTGTCATATTATATTAAATTATATTTATTTATTATTAGGTTATTGCATTGATATTTTGTTATTATAAAACACCCATGCAATCACGCATCCCATATTGCCTGATAGGACCCGACACTACTTTAGTGTTTCGGCAGTTAAAGCTTGGGATGGTCATCTTAAGATGCATTATTTTAATATAATCAAATATGAAAATTATTCATGTATATATTGATATATTCATATTTTAATTCTTCGTCAATAGATCTAGATATTATGACAGATCTGCCATCATCAGGGGTCCAACTGTCAATTTTATGTCAAAGTCTTTAACTTTGATCTGCAAAGCATATTTCCTACACTTTTATGTTTGCTATACGCAACTATTAGTGCAACATTGAATATGTGTACACAATCTTCGTCAAACTGCAATAAATGCCAGTGTTTCATGATACGTTTTTTTTTATTTTACGTATATATGGGTTATATTTAGTTATTAAAACTAAAGGAATATTTTCTGTTTCTTTCGATTTATTTTGTTGTAATAATTCAGTACGGTCAATTGATTATGCATCAGTAATACTATCATCTATTTCGACGTTATAATAACCCCTTTCTAATCATTTCACTTTGAAATTAGTTAGATTGTTTATTAATTTGTTATGGTCACTTGTGTTTCTAATCTGCCGTATTGCTCCACTTTTAATAAATCCTCGGAATACATGCTGTGAGTGACAGCTATTTCTATGCAGATACAGATAAGAATTTGTTTCTTTAAAATGTATTTCAAGGTCAAGAATACCATGTGTTGTAAATCTTTGACCTTTAATTACATCAACATCTAAGAACGACATTTTATCGTTTGAGATTTCATAGCTGAACTTTAATAAAGGGTTATAATTATTTGCAAGACGAAAAAATTCTGTAATTTTATCTGATGTTCCATCATATATTATGAATCCATCGTCCCTATATCTTCCATGATAGAATATTTTGTCTTTATGTTGAAATGCAGAAATTATTTGATTCATTATTTCGAACATAAATATGTCACAGATTTCCGGTGAAGGGACTGCACCAATTGCCGTACCTATTATTTGTTTATATATTTTCCCATCAAATTCAAATACATTGTTTTCTAAAATGAGTCTCAGCAGATGTATTAATACATTGACCGGCGGAGCATTGACTTTGAAGTTTGATTTGTCAAAACTGTCATAGGCTCGTTCAATAGCGCTTAATAAAGCAGCTTGAGGAAGATTAGTAAACATCTGTGTTATGTCATACGAAACCAAGAGACTATTTGCCATAGGTTTTATTTTCACAATGATATTAATGAAAGATGTAGTATCTTTTATATATGTCGACCGATTTTGAACTACAGGTATAAGAAAATAATCAACATAATGACCGATAAGTTCAGTTACGGAACCACACTGTGATATAATTGGTCTGCCAGGTGGAATTATATTTAATTCATTTAATCCATCATGTTGTATTTGTTTGAACGTCTCCGTTTCAAGACGGTGAATTTGTGGAAGAATATAAATTTTCCCTAGACGTGCATCTCTTAATTTTTTACCATTTGTTAAAAATTTAAATGATATGTTGTCGATAATGCCTTGGTTGTATAACGATTTAACATACTCAATGACCTGGATTTTCAATTCTGCTATGTTAAATGAATCTAATTGGCAGTAATGTTGAGTATTTAGTTGTCTTGTGACTTCTGTTATGTAGTCTAGCCTGTCTAAAATAACACAATTTGAATTTTTATCTGCCTTTTTTATTACTATTGTTTTATCATTTTTCAAATTGCGTAGTGCTAATTTTTCGTCCTTCTAAGATTGTTTATTTATATTTTTTTATATTGGTTGAAAAGATGTTCAAGCTGCGTTAAATTGATATAATTTTCCAACGTATGGCACGTAGAAGCAGGTTTATATCCTGTATTGCTACGAAATGGATGAAGGTCAGTTTTTTCTTGACTGAACATATATCGACATCGTAATTTTCTAGTAAATTCATTGTAGTCTTTTAGTATAAACATTTTTGCATTTCTGCTTGATGGCGTTGGTATAAATTTCAAGCCTTTCGCCAACAGGATATATTCCTGGTTTGATAATTTGCGTTTTGATAGATTAATTACATATGTTTTTGCATGTGCAGCTCTTTGCTGCATATCATATTCATTCCGTTCTTTTTTATTGTAGAATCGGAATTTTTGCTTTTTAGCATTTCTATTAAAACGACGTGCCATTTTAGAGTTCACATTGGGTGATTCTCTTAGCTACGTGCCTATGGCAAATAGCCTCTTGGTTTCGTATGATATAACACAGATGTTTACTAATCTTCCTCAAGCTGCTTTATTAAGTGCTGTTGAACCAGACTATGACAGTTTGACAAATCAAACTTCAAAGTCAATACTCCGTCGGTCAATGTAATAATACATCTGTTGAGACTCATTTTAGAAAACAATGTATTTGAATTTGATGGGAAAATATATAAAAAAATAATAGGTACGGCAATTGGTGCAGTCCCTTCACCGGAAATCTGTGGCATACTTATGTTCGAAATAATGAATCAAATAATTTCTGCATTTCAACATAAAAACAAAATATTCTATCATGGCAGATATAGGGACGATGGATTCATAATATTTTTTGATGGAACATCAGATGAAATAACAGAATTTTTTCGTCTTGCAAATAATTATAACCCTTTATTAAAGTTCACCCATGAAATCTCAAACGATATAATGACGTTCTTAGATGTTGATGTAATTAAAGATCAAAGATTTACAACACATGGCATTCTTGACCTTGAAATACATTTTAAAGAAACAAATTCTTATCTGTATCTGCATAGAAATAGCTGTCACTCACAGCATGTATTTCGAGGATTTATTAAAGGTGGAGCAATACGGCAGATTAGAAACACAAGTGACCATAACAAATTAATAAACAATCTAACTAATTTCAAAGTGAAATTATTAGATAGGGGTTATGATAACGCCGAAATAGATGATAGTATTACTGATGCTTTATCGATTGACCGTACTGAATTATTACAACAAAATAAATCGAAAGAAACAGAAAATATTCCGTTAGTTTTAATATCTAAATATAACCCATATATACGTAAAATTAAAAAAACGTATCATGAAACATTGACATTTATTGCAGTTTGACGAAGATTGTGTACAAATATTCAATGTTGCACCAATAGTTGCGTATATCAAACATAAAAGTGTAGGAAATATGTTTTGCAGATCAAAGTTAAAGACTTTGACATAAAATTGACAGTTGGACCCCTGATGATTGCAGACCTGTCATAAAATTTAGATCTATTGACGAAGAATTAAAATATCAATATATCAATATATACATGAATAATTTTGATATTTGATTATATCAAAATAATGCATCTTAAGATGACCATTCTAAGCTTTAACTGCCGAAACACTAAAGTAGTGTTGGGTCCTATCAGGCAATATGGGATGCGTGGTTGCATGGGTGTTTTATAATAACAAAGTATTGTCCCGAGTAGATTTTACATAAACTGGATAGTGTAATATTTATAAATTCTACGAGGGATTATATTCGCCGATATTTATGCCTTTTATGGTATTACAAAGCTGGACAACTTTTCAAACATATTTTTGTCATTGATGACGTCGATCATTTGAAGCTATATTTGTATTGGTGCAATACTATACAATTATAGCCTTTGTATGAGGTCGATACAAGGATATATTGACCTGAAAGAAGTATATTGACTGAGGACGAAGTTCGAGGTCGATGTTCTTCTTTGGGTCGATATAACCTGTATTGACCTCATACAAAGGCTACAATTGTTATATTATTAATTTCCGACCATATCTGTATCAAAATCGTCAGTGCATTATATTCTCTTTTTCGATCATTCAATTTTGTTGGAATTTTAAAGATATCATATTGCCTCTTTGACTATCACAACATATTAGTTGATATCTCAATTATTTTTTTTGTTTTTGTGTATACATCTTATGCATTTGAAGATTTTTTTTAATAAATAATCGATCATAAATATACACTTTTTAAAACTTTTAACATCATGAATTTCATAAGATGACGTCACAAAGTATGTCGATTTTTAGATATTCTAAACATAACCGTGCAATATCACTTTTTTATCCGCCGTTTTCAATCGACCTTTGAAAATATAGTTTAACATGTGACTATTCCTGAACGGATCAAATAAGTCAAAATATACAAATCAATAATATCATAGAATAGTGCACAGTAACGTTTGGTTACGTTCTGTAGGAAATATTGTGTTGCTATACACTAATAATTACATTACGTGTATGTTTCACGAGAATCCATTAGTTTAATTGGCTAACAATAATCGCGCGTCATTCAAAAATTAACCTTCATATCAGAATGAAATGTTGCATTCGTGATGACACGTGCTTCCACAAAAAAAGTGCACAGGTTAATAAAAGAAAAACTTGATAAAACTTTTTTTTCATGGTCTTATTAGCATAAAAATGTAATTATAAGAATGTGAATGGTAATTTTATTGGGGTGTAAAAGTGTTGATCGTGCACACATTTTTAAAATGAAGCGAAAATGTGCTTCGGTCAACACTTTTACACCCCAATAAAATTACAAAAAGAAGCATTGATTTCATTTGGTTTATTTTTATTTGCTGTCCGTGACACACTCACTAAATAGTACAAATATGCTAACTATGAGTTTTTTCCGACACAAAAATATGGCCAGTAAAATTAATATAGCTTTTTTACAATTAATTAAAGGGGCATTAGCCTACAAATTCATGTTCATCGATTTGAAAATTCTCATATTTAATTTCTAAAATACTAAAACGTATATTCCAATAAATGAAAGTCCAAAAGAAACAATTAACAATGCATGCACTCTTTATAATGTATCAGTATTTCTTGCGTGATGTTTTGTAGGCCGGATTAATAAACAAAATGGTTATTTCTGGTGGCTCCCTTGTTTTACTTCTTAATATTGACAATTTTTTAATGGATGCACAGTCTGACCTTATGCTGAACACATGCGCAACTCTTCTAAGGGTAAAGTTAAAGGTTACACGAATACGTATGCAAATGAGATTGAACTATTGACTTGCAAGCCAAAGATACATCAGCGATGGTTTTAGCTTATTTTGAAGAAATTAAACTAAACTTACTGCTAATAGCGAAATATTATTTCTATTTTCTGCTTTTATAGCTTTTATAAATGTTTGGAAACAACAAAAATATGATTTTTTGGCTAATTCGTAGCTAATGGCCCTTTAATTAAGACCTTGTATCGATTTTCAATACATTGCAGGTGCTTTGACATAATTTTTTTCAGCAAAATGGGGTTCGTTTGACTCTAACAGATGTAAGGGATTTATACGAAAAATACATAAAAGGTCAATTTTAAAAAAAATAATTATACATGATATCGCTGATTAATAATGATATTATTTAACATTATTACGACAAACATTTGTTTTGCAGTCCATTAGGTAGAAATTTTAGTTTTAAGCAGACCTTTTTTGTCACTTTGTCGTCATCCTCTTTATGCTTCCTTTATCTTACGAGCTAGGTTTGATTATAAGCTTTGTCTATGAGTTGCACAGGTTAAACGTAACAATAATCAATTGTCTATAAATATATTAATAAATAATTAAAAGAATATTGTATTTTAAAGAGTTGATTATATCGGGCAATATATCATGCAAAATATCATATCATTTTTACGATCAATATCTTATTACATTGTATTTCTAAACAAATATTCGGGTCATTCTTGAATAGCTTTTCATTTTGAAATCATTGACTGTGTGCTTTGATTATGAAATGAGAATTATGTGACTTACTTCTTGCATATATTATAACATCATCGCATCCGGGACTTTCCATCATTTTCTTTTTACAATTTAAAATATTTACAAAAAAACCCTACTTATCGCCTGTGTCTGACAGTACTAAGAATTTATACAGTTTTATTGGGGGGGGGGGGGGGGGGGGGCAATAGCACTTTTTGTTAATTTTTCATTAATTTTTTTTCAAGAAAATTAAATTTCATTAAAATCATAATTCAAATTGCTTTCCCTTTCTTTTAACTCTAAAATTAAAAAAAATGAATAACAATGAGAGAAAATGCCTGAATTTTTTGAAAGGTTTTAGTTACTTATATATGTGTCTTGAAACAACTCAGCATTATATATGGTGCAATTTTAAATACTTGGGAGTTTTAAATAAGACGTCCTTTGTGACTAATTAACACATTGACAACGCACTTAAAGATTAAATGTCAAAACAATAGAAAACCAATGTCTTTTCCAGGAGTTGAATGTTAATACAATAGAAAACCAATGTCTTTTCCAGGAAAGTCACTTAATGGATGATGGATTACATAGTCATGTTTTTTGTCCTCCTACTATTTCATTGCACAGGTAAGTTCATTAATTATGTTGACACATAGATTGTTTATTAATTATGTTGACACATAGGTGGGTTCATTAATCAGGTTGTCACACAGGTGGGTTGCTTAATTATGTTGACACACAGGTAAGTTGATTAATTATGTTGAGACTAAGGTGGGTTGATTAGTTATGTTGACACTCAAGTGGGCTGGTAAACTATGTTGACACATAGGTGGGTTGATTAATTATGTTGACACACAGGTAAGTTGATTAATTATGTTGACACAAAGGTGGTTTGATTAGTTATGTTAACACACTGGTGGGTTGATTGATTATGTTGACACACAGGCGAGTTCATTAATTATGTTGTCACACAGTTGGGTTGATTAAATATTTTAATCAACAGAATAAATTACTCTTTGAATTGCATATGAAAGTAAATTTTATTACATGGATTATTGAATAAAATCTTAAATAAATAAATACGGGTCCATTCTGTTCTGACATATTGTTAGTAGTTTTCTATAACTTATAAGAAAAAGAGGCGGAATATACCAAGATGGGATTTTAAAAAAACTCATAAGTCAAAGAGAAACTGACGGTAAAACCAAACTGACGGTAAAACCAAACTGACAACGCCATTGCAAAGAACGACGACGAAAAGACAAACAAGTCCACAAAAACAACATATAAAATCTGAAGAATGACCAACACGAACACAAAAAGAAATGGGGATGGGGATGGGGTTGGGGATGGGGGAGTCTTCTAGGGTACCACGAAAAAATGTTATTATCAATCGTGTATCAAGACCTCCTTCAAATGTCGGTGAAACTTGATATTATTGTCATAGCCAGAAATTAGTAGTACTTTTGCTAATTAATATTCATAATATGTAAATGAGGATTGTACCACGTGATAATAGTTTGAACTGGACTGGCTTGATATCATTAAAATCTTTAAAACACGGATATTATAAGTTGCCCGTTACAGAATCCTTGGTTATAATCACTCTGATATTTCCGTAAAGTTGTCAGGCGGTCAAAATCAAAACAATGAACGCGAATTTAGTGAATTTTTCGTGTTTTCGTGAGTTTATTCTTCTTTAAATAGGGGCATTTTAACTTTACGTGGGAACCTAGAGTTCAACGACTACACATACAAGGTTTGGACTTGCTTATTCTTTGGACATTCAAGTTTCAAGTTTCATCCCCGCAACCTGTTTTTTTAATGACCTTGTTAGCCAATTTTCAACACGAAGTTTGCAAATTTGACGTTTCAGCCATTTTAGCCTGTATTTTATACTGCAATGTTAAAAGCCTCTCGCTTCGATTCTTAAAATAGCTCAGTTGTAGTATGATTGCGTCCCTGTGCATTTGGTATACATATAGTGAACATACTCAAAAAGTTACAATGTAGTACAGTAAACACTGCATTGACTGGATGTAAAAGATGAGGCTAGACTTGTCTGTCTTGTACAATTTTTTCAACTGTTGTTGGATTTTGATTTCAAAGAAGTAATTTTCTTTCTATATAAAAATAAGGAGATGTGGTATCATTGCCAATGAGACAACCATCCACCAAACTTCAAATGAAGTAAGTATATATGCAACCGTATGGCCTTCAACAATGAGAAAAAAACCCATACTGTATAGTCGGATATAAAAGGCCCCCATGAAAAATATGAAACAATTCAATTGATAAAACTAACGGCATAATTTATTACAAAACAATTTACGAAAAACAAATATGACAGATGAACTAACGACAACCATTGAACTACAGGCTCCAGACTTGGGACAGGCACATAAAGAATGTGGCGTGGTTAATCATGTTTGTAAGCACTTGATCCTCCCCCTAACCTGGGACAGTGGTGCCCAACATAAGAACAAACTGTAATAAACTGTTCATTAAGATATAATGAAGTATACATAGTATTGAAATTTACAATTAATATAAATAAGAAAGATGTGGTATGAGTGCCAATGAGACAACTCTCCATCCAAGTCACAATGTATAAAAAGTTAACAATTATAGGTCAAAGTACGGCCTTCAATTAAGTCGATACTTTAATAAACATATCTTACATTTCTCATGTTACTCCTGTCCTGATTCAGTGAATTTAGGGTGTGGCTAACACTTTTATAAAGTGCTATTAGTACACGAAAACACAAAAAAAAAAAAAAGATAATTGAAAGGAAAGGAAAGACTGTAAGAAATACATGTATGACTATATTGCTTTACATTGTTGTAATTGGTAAATATTGAATTTGATTTTATCATTATTGTGTTATTGATTTTATGAAATGAAATTATACAAATATTACAGTTGTATCCGGAACAGTCTCATTTGTCATGGTACCGTTTGCAACTAACAGCACTGGCGAAGTGAATGTCTCCATCGAAGTTCAAACAAATAATTCAGATCCACAAATATCATTATCAGTAAAAAATGGGCAGGCAAATACACAGTTGTCCCCTAACCAGGCAGTTTATAACTTTCATGTTAGACCACGTGAACATCTTTTACCTGGTAATGTAACACAATCAGCTGTGTATATCAATATTGAAGCTGACGCTATTCGACAAAATCTAGTATCGTTAAGATTGATGATCGACGACTTGGAACCACTAACAGTATACCCAACTGAAAGTCTTGGAAAAGAATATAGAGTTATTACATATTGTCAGATTCTCGGAAGCTGTTTTCTAGCACTGGCTACTGTTCCTAATACAAACGGTACTGTTCATGTCAATGTATTTCTACCAAGAAACAAAAGTATGGAAGTACAGTATCACAATGCATCCTACAGTGAAGGACAACACATACAAATCCAGTTATCTGATAACGAGGCACTACTGTTGGAATGTAAAAAATGTGATTTCACCGGAACGCTTATAAAAAGTTCAGAAAATATTGCAGTCTTTGCAGGAGGAATTGACACGATAATCAGAAGGGGAGACGTTGAAAGTACATTCCTTGCACAAATGACACCCGTAGAAACTTGGGGAAAGGATTTTATTTTAGTTGATTCTAATATTGACGATATGGGTGACATGATCCGTATAATTGCTCGATATAATGAAACTGTTGTTAAAATTGATGGTCAGATCACAACGCGGATAAATTTGACAGAACATTATATACAACGAGCCCTAAACCGAGGAGATATTATTCACGTGACGTCAAATAAACCTATCATGATATGTCAAATACTTACAACGGGCTCAAAACAAGGTCTGATGTTGAATGTACCTCCAACTGAACAATACTTTGAAAATAAGTTTAATACTCACTGTAGATATAACGGATTTGCTATTATTAGTGGTGATGAGGATGTAACGATTAATTCTGAACAAATAATTATAGGTCATTCTGGATATATTGCAATTAAAATTGATAGCAGTTCCTGTTCATCCTCCAATTCAGGCTACAAGCATGGTACATTTTTTGGTCAAAAGGACCATCCCAACAGACCATATATCAAAGAAGTACAATATTTCAGTAAGCCGTTTCTACGGGTATGTACTGATTAATCCTTATTCATTTCCAATTTATTTTAATGTTCATATGAGACACAATGACTGAATGTAAACTTGGTGCATATATGTGACCAGCCATGAGATTTTCAGGCTAATGAAGGTACCAGGATCAAAATGATTTTTTTTTGCATTTTATAAAGTATACATAGATCCAAAACATCGTGACAAGTTATTTTACTATATTCTTCAAAATTAACAGAATTATGGTAATTTTTGTTAGTTTCGATTTTATTAAAAAAAATCTTTTTTTTTCGCATGTATGTTCATCTATTTTAGTTGTTATGTCATATTGTTTTGGTTTTTATATCATATCTATGAATCCAACAGTTCTACCATATAGCGTTAAAGAGAAATTTCTGAGCCTGCATATTCAAACTTGCGGGAGGATGATAAAAGGAACATTACAAATAAACTTTTTTTAATTTCTGCTGGTTATAGTCTTCTACAATATATACAGGAATCACAAGGATAAATAACTAGTACTAAGTAATGTATGTACTCCTCGAATTCTGAGTCGTGGTAGCATGTTCGCCTCGAGTGCAGAAGGTCATTGGTTTGAACCCCGGCCGGGTCAAACCAAAGACTTTAACATTGGTACTTGCTGCTTCTCCGCTAATCACACGGCATTAAAGAGTTAGAACAAAACCTGATCTGCTCGGAGTCGGAATAATGTGTCCGGGTAGTGTGACATGTCTCCCTGTGGACTGTTATCTTGTGAAATAGCACGTTGAAAATTCGTCTCAGCTTGTCGGTCTAGTAAAAAGCATAGTCCAAATAATTATGACGTCTTGAAAGGCTAATTTTTAATTTTTGGTGTGACGCCTTCCTACGACACAGTCTATCCAGACGTCATAATTATTTGGACTAGTAAAAAGCAGTGTTAATATTCATATCGCATTACCATGTGCTTGTCCTAAATATGTATTTAATTTGTCACTGGTCGTTTAACAGCCACCCGGCCATTATCATCTTTGAATTCTGGGACAGATTTCCCAAAACACCTAACGAGAAAGAATACTCCTGAGTCATGTACATTACAACTTAAAGTAGTTAAATATTTTGTGAAAGAAGCTATCAAATTAAAGTGTTGAATTCTACAGTCCAAAATCCACAAATTTAATCGTATAAAAATGAGGAAATACATTTCAATCATTTTGAAAAAGTAAATCTAAATATAATTTAGATTATAAATCTGCAGATTTGTTGAAATTCTCTTTGTATAATGCATGAAATGAAATGAAGACTAAATATAATAGGGAAATTCTGCAAAATGGGTGTACTGCGTGGACAGGGTGGAAGCCTTCGGATGAAATTTGACCACTTGAAAATGAAGGCATTTTGAACAGCGATTAGACATCTCAACAGGTCATCCAAGGAACCCATACAGAGCTGTTACAATAGCACTTATTTGTGCATATCGTATAGCCATACGGACGCCGCTTACAAGAAGGAGTCATACACTACAAATGTATGCCTTAGACGATGACCTTATTCCTTTTTCTCTACCCCGGGATTACCTCGGCTTTTTTTTAATCCATCTACTGCCTCCAATCATTCTTTGTGTAAGTGTAACCCTGTTTTGTTACTGAGACATTGGGGCCACCTGAAGAATTTCTCTGATTCTCCCTAGACGGCGACCTTACTCCTATATTTCTCTACCCCGGAATAACCTCGTTTTTTAAATCTATCTACTGCCTCTAATCATCCTTTGTGTAAGTGTAACCCTGTTTTGTTTGACATTTGAGCCACCTGACGAAGTTTTCTGATTCGCCCTAGACGGTCACCTTACTCCTATTTCTCTACACCGGTATGAACTTGTTTTTTTTTTAATCCATCTACTGTTTTCTAATCATCCTCTGTGTAAGTGTAACCCTGTTTTGTTTGACATTTGAGCTACCTGCAGAAGTCTTTTGATTCGCCCCTGTGTATTCTTGATTGTGAAATTATATTTTGTCTTCCAATTTAAAACATATCAATCAATTACAGGAAGTTTTCGTAAATAAGACTATGGTTCCAGGCGACAAAGCGGACAATGATAATGATGGGCAGATTGATGAAGATGATTGTGGTATGTATTTCAATAGGACTGACAGGATTCAGGGTGGAAGAAATATCGAGATAAAAGATATAAAAAAGGGAGATATGTTGGGTTACGTATGTCCTCTCATTAGCATTTCACAACTGAGCGCATTCATTTCAACGTTATCAGGTCTATTGTGTGTATACGTCTGTGGTTGAATTGCCATTTACAAATAATCACAGTTCAATAAAAAATTGGTCGAGTACAAATATTTGAACCCTCTAATTCACTTGACCAAGACGATATTTGGTTTTCAATTACATAAACGAATCAACACAAGTACACACTAGATATACTTTGGAATTGTTATTCATTTCATTATACTAGGGCCTTTTAATTATAGCTTACTTTATGGTATAGGGTATTTTTTCTCATTGTTGAAGGTCGTACGTTAGCCTATACTTGTTTACACCCACGACTTTTCCGATAGACAGATTGTCGCTTTCAAACACAGTTTACTTGTAATGAGCAACACAACGGATGGCGTATTGGAACAGGAACTGATTGCCTTTAAGAATAGAATAACATGTCGAGTTCACTTCTTCAACTTTTTAATTGATTTTCAATTTTTGTTATTCTCAACTGTTTTAAAAGTCTTGATTGTTATCTTCTCAAGGATCATATTGTCTATTGCTGATATATTTAGTTTTTGTGTCGTTTTGTCACACATCAGATAGTACGTATTGGGGTATACTGTAGTCCGCCCATCCGTCCACCCGCTTTTTCAACCGTTTGTCCGTATGTCAACTCTTCAAATCCAGTTATGCTTCAAAAAATTCACATGAAATTTCAACACTTATTATGATTGAAAGAAGAAAGCTCCCTTTAGATTTTGACCATTTCCAATTTTGTCATCCAAGAGTTATGGGACTTTGTTTGTGGACAATTGTTTAATTTTTCAAATGTTGTACAATAACACAACATTCCTGAGATACATTTTCTTGAAATTTCATCACAGTGCTCTGTCAATTTTCAAGATTTTCACTTTTGGGATTCTAGAGTAATGGAACTTTTTTCATGAAAATTTGTCTCATATTGTGCACTAACTCCATTATGCTTGAAGTGATATCATAGCACTGTTACGGTTATTGATGAAAGGTAGATTCCTTTCTATTTCGAAATTCTTCTAGTTTGCCGTGCCACAGTTATGGGACTTTAACTGTCCGATTCAAGTAAAAAATGTTTCCACATGTTGCACAATTTACTGGAAACCTTAATTATTGGTTGGAATTGGTGAAAGTAAGATACCTCAAAATTTTTTATCATTTTTTATTTGTCGTTCAGGAGTTACGGGACTTTAAACGTCATATTTAATTTGCAATGTTTACATGTCACACACCAGCTCTAAAATTCTTGGGTCAATTCACTACGAACTGTTCACTGTTGTTGGGATTGGCAGATGCAGGCTTGATTTTGAGATTTTTCTGGTTTGTCGTTCCAGATTTATGGGGCTTTTTAACAGTCATATTTGAGGCAATATACATACATCGAGTGATATCCTCAGAAAGTTTGTATACAGAACCATTTTAATAACCTCTAATAATGTAACCTCTTTTAAATATTCCTTTTTATTCAATTTAAACATGCAGAAGACGGGCGTATCATGCTCTTGCTCCTGACGCAGCTGCTTACTCCTTACTCAGATGCTTACTCCTTACGCAGCTGCTTATTGTGTTTGCTAATGGTTACGTCCTTCGAACTTTGTTTCATGTTTCGAGATCAGCCCTGACTTTGTTTTAACTATAGGCAGCTCCTACAATAACTTGGAAATCATAATGAAAGTTCCTTGCAGCTGGTCAGTTGAATTTATGGCTATCTCTAGATCTGCTTTTAAACTTTAAAAAATGCAAAATTTTATATATTTCGTTAGCGTATATGCTATAAACCTGTAGTATACAATCGTGTAGTTTCCAAACAGCTGTCACAACAGTTCGTTAACTATTCACAAAACAAGTTCTGGTAACAGTTACATTGCAATAAGACGAAATGGTAATTCAAACCACATAAAATAAAAGCTTTCGTTAAATTTCTTTAGAAAATGAATGTTGCATTTTATAATCACAACATAGTTTAAATTTATTCATTATCCACAATATATGCCCTGGGACTATTTATTGAGGTTTTTACATGTTTATTACATAATCGCAAACCCACTCTTTAAATAGTTCGCATAGAGTTAACATTAAGAAATTATTTTGTTTTAATGAGCTACACAAATCTCACGAAGTCAAAGAACATCTTTGAAACCATAAATTAATTCATATTATTTTTCTCAGACAGTTTTCTAAACTTCAATTTGAATAATGGCTTTTTATGCTTTCAAAGGTTTTTACCTTAGTTCAGTAAAAGCAAATTTTGAAACTGCCAGAACTGAATGTGAGAAGCTAAATAAATCAATAGCGATGATTGACACCATGGAAAGACATTTAATGGCAAAAGAGTTCCTGAAAGATAAAGGGTAAGTCTTTTGTTTAATTTCAATTTAACCTTCTGGACACTTGTGTTAATAAAAGTATAATTGGAAAAATGTGAACTTATCCGTTACGTAGGAACTATTTTGTTTTAAATATGTACTACTTTCCAGTATGTTCTTTTGAACGGGCCCGATTTGGTGGTGTTACATCTTACAAAGTCTATCCAAATTATTTTTGCAAATAATTCCGCTCAAGCCGGTGCTAGTGGCCGTCTTAAACTTGCAGTGAGGTGAGGTTTTTTTTTTTTTTTGGCTCCTTGTTGAAAGCCTCACTGTGACTTTGAGTTGAAGAAAAACAATAAAAGCGCTGTTCCTTTGCTTTTTGTGTGTTTTTTACTGGGCATGTACTGATTTTGTGTCATGGATGGATACCTCATATCCTTTGTTTTTAACCGGATTTTCGAAGGAAATATCGGTTATTAAAATGGTGATATACGGCGCCGGCTGGGCGGTTTGGCGGCTGCCAAACAGTGTCAGCACAATAACATGAAAACGCTTTATAAATTTTTTTTCAAATTTAAATATGTTGTTAATGAAGGTCTCTATTAATTTTCAAGATTTTAGTATATCTCTTTTGTGAGTTATCGCCATTTTTAATATCCAAAAGTAGAATTTTTAAATATTTTACTCTTATTATTATGTTATGATTTGTCTTATCTCAGAATAAAAGTTGGAGTGACAGATTTATTTGAAAATTATCTATTTCCTAAGTGGTAATGATTATAAGCTATATCATTAGACATTTTGAAGATTATTACATTATTAATTATGTTAGAGTACTATGTTAAACAACCATAGTTCTGTTCAATTAGATATTATAAATATTTCAGCATATGATAATGATTTATTTTCATTATTAATTAGATCTTGGAAATATTTTAGCATATGATAATCATTGGAGTGACAGATTTATTTGAAAATTTTCTGTTTTCTGATAAGATCTGTAGGACTGTATATATATACAGTTTGAAACTTACTAGTATTACTGTATAAATGAAGTTTGGAATTTACTGTTCATTATTAGACATTTTGTAGATAATTAAGTGTCCGTTAATCTTATATATTCTTACCCCTACCTCACTTCAATTTGATAATGTGCTTTTATATTGTAAACGGTAGAGATCCCTACTCCTAAACCATATATATTCTTGTATGGGACAATAAAACAAATCAAATGAAATATTGGGATAGTCCTCGGGTTCACAGCTACCCTCCTTTTTTTGAAAACTTGTAAATGTGCAAGCTCCCCACCCTGAAACCATATATATTCTTGTATGTTACAAATCAAATGAAATAAAAGGTGAGTCCCCTGTGGTCACCCCCAGCGTGTCTGTTTGAGAACTTGTAAACGGTCGAGATCCCCACCCCTAAACCATATATATTTTTGTATGGGATAAAAAAGAGATCAAATGAAATATAGGGGAAGTCCACGAGGGTAAACCCCACCCCCTTCTTTTTGAAAACTTGTAAACAGTCAAGATCCCCACCCTGAAACCATTGTTCTTCTTGTATATTACAATAAAACAAATCAAATGGAATAAAAGTCGAGTCCCCTTGGGTCACCCCACCTTTTTCCTGTTTAAGAACTTGTAAACGGTAAAGATCCCCACCCCTAAACCATATATATTCTTGTATGGGACAATAAAACAAATCAAATGAAATTTAACGGAAGTCCACGGTGGTAAACACCACCCCTTTCTTTTTGAAAACTTGTAAACGGTTGAGAACCCCACCCCTAAACCATATATATTCTTGTATGGGACAATAAAACAAATCAATTGAAATTAGGGGAAGTACCCTGGGGTGACCCCCACCCCTTGTTTTTTGAAAACTTGTAAACAGTCAAGATCCCCACCCTGAAACCATATATATTCTTGTATGTTACAATAAAACAAATCAAATGAAATAAAAGTCAAGTCCCCTCGGGTCATCCCCACCTTCTTTCTGTGTAAGAACTTGTAAACGGTCAAGATCCCCACCCCTAAACCATATATATTCTTGTATGGGACAATAAAACTAATCAAATGAAATATAGGGGAAGTCCATTGGGGTAACCCCTACCCCCCTTTTTTTGATAACTTGTAAACGGTCAAGATTCCCACCCTAAAAACCATATATATTCTTGTATGGGACAATATATCAAATTAAATGAAATATAGGGGAAGTCCACGGGGGTAAACACTACCCCCTTCTATTTGAAAACTTGTAAACGGTCAAGATCCCCACCGCGAAACCATATATATTCTTGTATGTTACAATAAAACAAATGAAATGAAATAAAAGGTGAGTTCCTTGGGGTCACTCCCACCTTCTTCCTGTTTAAGAACTTGTAAATGATGGAGATCCCCGCCCCTAAACCATATATATCCTTGTATGGGACAAAAAACAAATCATATGAAATAAAGGGCAGGTCCCCTGGGAAAATTAATCAGTTTGTGTGTGTTATATTTGAACATAAATTAAATATATATATAGGGTTCTTTCAAGTGCTGAATCTGAACTTGTTTTTAATTAGATAATAATCTATTTTTATTATGAGATAAAGTTTTTGACATTGATAGATAAGTTGCAGATCTGTATTATTTTTTGACACATGAAAGAAACAATATTAGCAACTATTAATTAAATTTGATTATAATATGGAAATAGATATAACATCATATCTGATTTTAGAGAAGTATTTTGCTGGTTTTTTAATGGTTTATGGAAATAAGTTTGAGTTATTTGTTTTGAAAAGTGATGTGTTTAATTGATAGATATAAAATCATATCTAATTTTAGAGATTTATGAGTGGTTAAGTCATATCTAATTTTAGAGTATTATTTTGGTGTTTTATTACTGGTTCATGGAAAAAAATTTGAGTTTTATCTTGTAAACGATCGAGATCCCCACCCCTAAACCATATATATTCTTGTATGGGACAATAAAACAAATCAAACAAAATATTGGGGGAGTCCCCGGGACCAACCCCACCCCCCTTCTTTTTTAAAACTTGTAAACGATCAAGATCCCCACCCTAAAACCATATATATTCTTGTATGGGACAAAAAAACAAATCAAATGAAATATAAGGCGAGTCCCCTAGGGTCACCCCCACCCCATCCTGTTTGAGAACTTGTAAACGGTCGAGATCCCCACCCCTAAACCATATATATTCTTGTATGGGACAATAACACTAATCAAATGAAATATAGGGGAAGTCCAGGTGGGTCACCCCCACCCCCTTCTATTTGATAACTTGTAAACGGTCGAGATCCCCACCCCTGAACCATATATATTCTTGTATGGGTCAATAAAACAAATCAAATGAAATATTGGGGAAGTCCATGGGGGTACCTCCCCACCCCCTTCTTTTTGATAACTTGTAAACGGTCGAGATCCCCACCCCTGAACAATATATATTCTGGAATGGGACATTAAAACAAATCAAATGAAATTGAGGGGAAGTCCCCTGGGGTAACCCCCACCCCCCTTCTTTTTGAAAACTTGTAAATGGTCAAGATCCCCACCCTGAAACCATATATATTCTTGTATGGGACAATAAAACAAATCAAATGAAATATAAGGCGAGTCCCCTTGGGTCACCCCAACCCCTCCTGTTTGAGAAATTGTAAACGGTCGAGATCCCCACCCTGAAACCATGTATATTCTTGTATGGGACAATAAAACAAATCAAATGAAATAAAAAGCGAGTCACCTGTGTCACCCCACCCCCTCCTGTTTGAGAACTTGTGAACGGTCGAGATCCCCACCCCTAATCCATATATATTCTTGTATGGGACAATAAAACAAATCAAATGAAATATAGGGAAAGCCCATGGGGTAACCCCCACCCCCTTCTTTTTTGAAAACTTGTAAATGGTCAAGATCCCCACTCCGAAACCATATATATTCTTGTATGGGTCAATAAAACAAATCAAATGAAATATAAGGTGAGTCCCCTTTTGTCACCCCGACCCCCCCCCCTCCTGTTTAAGAATTTGTAAACGGTTGAGCTTTTCATTATTAATAAGATAATACCACATTGAGGTCCAAAGGGTCCTAAATTAAACTTTTGTTTAATTTCATCAAATATTGAATTCTTTGGTTCTTTGATATGCTGATTCTAACAATGTTTGAGTGTTAAATCATATCTAATTTTAGAGAACTTAGTCATCACTGGTTGTTGTTATTATATTATTGATTATAATTTGAAAAATTGCATCATATCTTATTTTAGAGAACTATTTATCCAGTTTGAGTTATTTCCATTTGCACAGAAAATATTATGGATAAAATTAACCTGTGTTTCATTTCAACATAAATTAAATATATATATAGGGTTCTTTCAAATGCTGAATCTAAACTCTATTTAAATATTAGATTTTTAGGCCCAGTTTTCAAGTTGGTCCAAATCAGGGTCCAAAATTAAACTTTGTTTGATTCAACAAAAACTGAATTTATGGGGTTCTTTGAAATGCTGAATCTAACCATGTATTGAGAGATTTTGGATTGTGGGCTCCTTTATCAAATTGGTCCACATTGAGGTCCAAAGGGTCCTAGATTAAACTTTTGTCTGATTTCATCAAAAATTGAATTCTTGGGGTTCTTTGATATGCTGGTTCTAATATGTACTTAGATTTTGGATATTGGACCATAATAGGTATTTAAAAGTCCAATTTCAAATATATCAGTTCTTTGACTACATTCATTTTGTGTCACAAACCTATGATGTGTCAAATATTCAATCACAATCCAAATTTATAGCTGTTTTAAGTTTAAATGTAGTGTCCATACTTGCTCAACTGTTCAGGGTTCGACCTCTGCAGGAAAATCCGGTTTGCTGTGTCTCTGACAGCCTCTTGTTTTTAGTCCCCTACCGACGAAGTCGAAGGGGACTTTAGGTTTGCACTCTGTCCGTCTGTCTATCCGTCCGTCTGTCCATCCGTCAGTCCGGCAACTCAGCTTTCCACACTTTTTTTCTTCGTTCTTGAAGATATTGATTTGATATTTGGTATATAGTTTTATCATGACAAGTTATAGATCAAGTTCGAATTTTGTTCCGGTCTGCTGATTTAGTCCAGAGTTATGGTCCATGAAAAAACTCCAGAACTAATGTTAGAGTACTATGTTAAACCATATAATCTGTACAAAGGGAGATAACTCATTTTTTAAAAGACATTCTTTGGTAAATTGTTTGAGGAATTTTGTGGCAGGTTTATATGTTATTTTGTATAAACTAATTTTCTGAATGCTGCATGTATATATATATATATATTTTTATTAAGTGAAATCCTTTAATTAGATAATAATCTATTTTTATTATATATTTCATTACATTACATTGTGTAGATAAAAGTTGTTGAAATTTTATAGGTAAGTTACAAATCTATATTAGTTTGTGACAAATGAAAGAAAAAATATTTGGAACTATTAATTATATTTGATTATAATTTGAAAATAGATATACATTGTATTACATCATATCTAATTTAAGAGTGTTATAGGTTTTCCACACTTTTTTTCATCATGCTTGAAGATATTGATTGACAATTGATAAATAGTTTTATCAAGACAAGTTACAGATCAAGTTCAAATTTTTGTTTCGGGCTGATAATTTTGTGCAGAGTTATGGTCCTTGGACTTGAAAAAATTCACTCATATATTCAGTTTTCCACACTGTTTTTAGTCATGCTTGAAGATATTGACTTGATATTTTCTTTTTGTTTACACCATGACAAGTTATAGAACAAGTTAGCATTCTGTTCCAGTATAAAGAATTTTTACCCGGTAAGGGACAATGTATTGCCATGCAATACTCTCAGAATGCTTGTTATTATAATAACTTCAATGAGTCCTATAACAAATTACTTGGCATTCTTTTTCCATTTTTAACATTTCGATGCTGATATTTTCATATTTCATACAAAGTCGTAACGGAATGCTTAATACAAAGTGAGTTAATTGTGTCGAAGGTCGGAATACTAGAAAGTATAATAAATATACTTTGTGTCCCATTGAAATCGAAAATCACAAATTATTATAAATCAAGCAAATAACATACAAAATAAGTGTGCCGATGTCAGTATTTCCATTTTTGGATGTTGCCTTACATATTTGATTTAGGCCTTCCAGCTTCTTACATTTAAAACCCCCTCCTAAATAGCCTCTAAGACTTTTTTTGAGGTTTTGTAATCAAAAGGTAATTATAGCTGAGGAGCATTCTTCCCTCAAATTTTGCCACAAAATGTCTAATACAAAGATGTTGTAAAGTATCTCTGGTAAAGGCTGTTTCTTATATTAAATTTGATAAAAAAAATGAGTAAAATGTCCATTTACTTAATGAATGGCTTTTATTTATTTTGAATTTATTTGTTCAATAAATTCAAAATAAATAATAGCCATTCATTATAAATAAATTTCTATCAAAAATAAGGCTCAAAGAGCTTTTTATATTATTTATATTAACAATAACAACGTACACACATGTTGGCGTATGAATACACAACGTCAGAGTGGGTGTGTCGATATAAAAATTGACAATATTGAAAATAAAGGTAATACTTTTAACCAATCAGAAGACAGTAAATACACCAAATTTATTTATAATCAAATATTAAAACAGTAACATCCCAAAGGAATTGTATGCACTAAAATGACCAGATCGTGTGATCATATTCCTTTATTAATAAAATTAACATAATTTGGAGATCTTTTGAGATCTATTTTTTAATTTTTCCACGTAATCTGAGGTTTTTATTATTTCGGATGCTGCTAAAAGACATTAAACTAACTTTAGAAAATACATGTATCACCTTTGGTAATCGTTCTGATAAAAAAAAAGTAAAATGTGAACAGTTTTCGGAAATAGTCAGTTTAATCATACATGTAAGATCAGGAAGAGAACATTTAAATGTGATACGAAGACACCCTGTCGTGCACTATACAAGCACAACTGCATGTAGTCAGATTGTTGACTTTCTCTTTCACAAGGTATCAGTCCACCAAAAAATATATCACCCTAATCAGACACGTTATTCAGAATCCGACCAATCTTTTCCCTAACTCTTAAATACCAAATGCTTCGCTGATAAGCAGGAAACAAAATTTTAAAGTGTTCGATTTCACCCAGCTGCGGATCAAACCCACGAGATTTCGCACTCATGTCGAGCAAGCTACCATGGACAATCGACTAGATAAAAAAGTTTAAAACGCACAAGTTGCATTAATAAATTAGTTGCCATTTACTGCAAGGGAATATAAGGGTAGCCATAACCGTCGATTGTCAATTTTACTCAGGAATATGCAATTTGTGGTTTTGTATACAAATGAGTTAAATCCACCGCAAATATACCACGTTTATAAATCTTGGTCAATGCTGAAACACTGATGTCATGGTCGAGCATTAGAGCTTACTGATTGTTTTCTATCTTGAACGTTCAGACACGAAAGATTCAAATGTCTACAAATTGACATCATCAAAAAGATTTTGTTAAAACAGATAACAAACTATATCATAACATATATTATAGAAAGAACGGTAGGCGACGAAATAAAGGTTTTCCTGAAATCATTTTCTCTAACTATAATATCTCAAATGGAGATATAGTTCCTAATTATAAATATATAGTCAAGATCTGTGAAACATTTTAAACACGATAGGGGAAACTACTTAGATCAAAATATGTTTGACGCAAATAGTGGTCAAAAGGGTATGCAACGCAGTAGCAAGGACAAATAACAATTCCTCCATGTTGTGCTGTTGCACGTTACATTGGAAACCCATCGAACAAAAAAATTGCACTATACAAAGTATTGTATATTATCTTCGGTGTTCATTTGAAACAAGATACAGTAATGAACAGTACAACTATGGACATACGTGTCCTTCCAGCACAGGTGATGTGGCCCTCCTGGCAGCAAGAGGGATAATTCAATCACAATTGTTCACCAATATATTTTTTTCATACCGAAACATAAAAGTCCCTATGTAGAGGCAGGCTCATGTCATCATGTCAAATGTACCAGTATTTGCATCGGTGTAACAAAAATATAGTGTGTGTGTTGATATTTTAAAATCTTTCATCATGTATAGTCATCTACATGTATAAAATGTTGAATGGGTTGGAAAAATATCCATTTAACGGACATTTAATTTTAAAGTGTCACTTTTCTAAATGCGATTAAAGATGTTAATTTTATTTTCAACAAAAATAATTTTAATAATCAAGACAATAATAAATAAATAAAGTAAAACTGTAGTACCGGGATGGGAGACAAACTCGTTTAGTAATAGTAAATACAATTTTGAAATGAGCTAATGGTACGGACACATGTCTGTTTATGGAAGACCGTATGTTGACCTATGTCGTTAGCTTTATTGTATTGTTGGGCTGTTGTCTAAAACATGCGCAAAATTTTCTTTTGGTCAAATAGAATATATTCATGCTTACCTTGCATACAATTTATATAACTATTCATTTCAATGTTGTTACTAGTAGCTTGCAACTGTATGTCTTTTCAGAGTCTCCAGAAATTTTGCGTTCATAGGATTGAAAAGACAGATGAATAACACAATATCTAACTTACGACTTTGGGAAAGTGGACAACCAGAAGATACAAATCAGGGATGTGTTGTTTTTAAATTTGTCAATGCTAAATTGCATGATGCACCATGCACCGAGAATCACTACTTCTTATGTACCGGTAAGAAGAAAAAAATTACAAGGAGGGGGGGACAATCAAAATCATTTGTTTAAAGATGGTCATAATGACCCCAACAGAGATACACAAAATTCAACAAAACAGCATTCAAAATACACATTGTGTCAACTCAGATGCTCAGGTAGAGTAAACAATTCCTGCTCCACAAGTGACACTTGTGATGCTCTTGACATACGGTGTATGATTAAGTCTGGCTCAAGGAAAAGAGAGGTATTACGACTACGATCGATAGAACATATACAAGGGCATTTATTACACGTTAATTGTGTAATGACTAACCCTGTCATGATGGAGTCTGAAAAATCTTCGGAGAGTTTATTTCAAATTTACCTTTAAAAACAATTGATAGAGAATATTCCCAGTAAGATAAATTCAAAGGAAGACATTTATCGATCGAATCCATAAATTTGGCTACATTACCCTTTTCCTTCCCGCATATCGTCATATATAACTATACGGTATAACTGTAAAAGATACCAGTTTATACCTTCACAAATCATAAACTTTTGAAAGGCTGAAGATACCATAGGGAAATTCAAACTCATGAGTCGAAAACAAACCGACAACGCCAACTGAAAAAGAAAATAGAAATTGAAGACAAACAATATAAAAATAAGAAGATGTGGTGTGAGACAACTCTCCATCAGAGACCAAATGACATACAAGTTAATAGCTATAGGGCACCGTACGGCATTCAACAATGAGAAAAACCCATACCGCATAGTTCGCTATCAAAGGTCCCGAAATGACAAATGTATAACAATTCAAACAAGAAAACTAATGCCTGATTTATGTACAAAACAATGAACGAAAAACAAATATGATATGCAGCAACAAACGACAACGACTGAATTACAGGCTCCTGACTCGGGACAGGCACATACAGAGTGTGGCAGGTTTCAACTAGTTTGCTTGCGGCAAACCCTTTCCTTAACCTGGTACAGTGGTGTAACAGTAGGTATACAACATAATAACAAACTAAACAAACTATAAAAATCAGTTGAAAAGGGCTTAAGATCGATACAAGGCAGAAAAACAATGAACAAAACATAAACCGGACGTGGCAGGGAATTTATACATCCCCACAACAAAAACGACACTAAGTACATGTCTGAGAGTACTCGCAGTTACTGACAGCTAGTTCAAACCATAACAACTAATAATAAAATCATGTATCCAAAACTAAAATATCAATCAATCAATCAGTACAAATCCAACATACAATGGATTTAGTGTAAAGACGTCATTAACCACAGAGAAAAACATGACCAAGATACAGGTATCGATAGATTGTAGAACCGTGAATGTGCATATGTATTTAACATTAATATTTAGTTTGATTTTAATTTACTGATTATAAAATCTATATTTATACCAATAAAAACAATATTCAAAGATCATATCACAGTGTTGAATTGGTCACCTTTTAGAATAAGTTTATTTTAAGGATCGTATCTTAACTTCCGGGCTCAGTAAACAACATCTCCGTTAAAAATTATGATGTGGTATCCCGTTTGAAATAAATTTTCTACGTGTACAGCCAAACTTCCAAACCAAATCTTTGTATCTATTGAAAAAAATTATAAAGGTTTTAGGTCATTTGTGGTAACGAAATCCCTGACTTTATTATTTACCAGTAATACATAGATTACGTTCATTGAAATCTGAAACGTCGCTACACACACGGGCACAGCGAACGAGTTTGTGACAAATAAACACCGTAAGATTGTGCCAAAGGAACATCACCGTCCAAAATAGGAAAATTAACAATAGGGAACGAACAATCGTCCCTCTGTCGTGAATTTTTGTGTAGAGTTTCCCGTGTAAAACTGAAATATCTAAATCTAGTAATGGACAGTAATTACCGTTTGTGTTTGATTTATTTAAAGTAAGTCATTAAAACACAAACTAGAAAACTAAAGACAGGTGAAAATATTCGTCGTCATCTGCATGTATAACAGTTATTCCATCTGTTGACAATTTATGGCAGCAATCACCAACAAAACTGGCCTAGGAAGTACAGAAAGGGTATATTATTATTAATAAAATGGGAGACCTACAATAATCATAACAAAAGTGCTATCTGTATGATTATTTATTATTATAAATCATGTATGCAGGTTCTAAACAATGTTTACCAAATGTATTGGTAAGTCATATGATCTTATTTTTTCATACATGGGATATTTTCATTTTTAAAGTACATTGCTCAATACTTTTTCAGATTGGATCAGAGACGATAATGACGACTGTCCGCCAGAAATTTATGGTAAGAAAATTCACCATATTATGATTAAAAAGACGAATAAAATGATACGGTGCTTTTGGTCCGCTTTTGCTTTTTGTCCGATAATTTTGCTTTTTGCCCGATACTTTTGCTTTTTGTCCGTTGGTTTTTGTCCGTTTTGCTTTTTGTCCGATAATTTTACTTTTTGTCCGACACTTTTGCTTTTTGTCCGTTGCTTTTCGTCCGATAATTTTGCTTTTTGTCCGACACTTTTGCTTTTTGTCCGTTGCTTTTGGTCCGTTTTGCTTTTTGTCCGCTGATTTTGCTTTATGTCCGATATAATAATTTGTATATTTTTTGCAGGTTTCATTTTGAACTTCGAAACACCATGACCTTTTTGGAGTTAAATACAAACCATACTCACTTTATAAATGATTTGTACATGAAATATTCGTTTCTTTCACTAGATATAAGAAGATGTGGTATGAGTGCCAAATTGAATGAAACAACTCTCCATCCAGTATGATCAATATGTTCTGAATTTACCGCTCACTTACGTTTAAAATGATTCATTGGAAAAGTTTTAGAAGATCTTTATTATGAGCATTTATGATCATTTATAATTTTGACATACATTTAGTTTCGCCTGAGAAGAGCTTGTCCTTGATTTAATTTTCGTTGTTTTGTTTGTGTATATGCTGATTGTAGGGTGCACATGTCCGACCGGTAGGTTTCACCTAACCTTTTGTCAATGTTTCTATTTTTATGGTTCGGTTTTTTTTTTTCTGATGCTTTTTAAGCAATGGGTCAATTACAATTAGCGTATGCAGGGCTTGTTATTTCTACTAGAATATTGAACGGGGTTCATCTAACATTGGCCTTATTTTCATGTGCTATTGGTCGATGCTTATTTTTCATGAGATTTTGGTGGATTTTTTTTAATAATCTCATTGTAGACCAAGTATATTTTCTGAAATGATTGTAATGTGAACATACTATTCGCAAATAGTATGTCTGAAATTTAATACATTTTTATGGTTTATTTGTTTGTCTTAATGAGTGTGGTATCTTAGATAATAAATACAATAGGTGGACACTATTGGTTGTATTGGATGATTGCAATATATAGATGTCTAATTGCATGTAAACTGACACTGCCCTTACTTTCGTCATTTATCGATCAATCATGAGTTCTCGACATAGGCTAGATTTAATTTATGTATGATTTACATATCCGACAAGAAGTGGCAATCTGACCTTGACCTTAGTTTCATAGTTCATTGGTCAATTTTTAGTATTGGTGGTTATAGGTCTGTATCTCGGATAATAATTAAAACATTCATGAAAGATACCATGCAGATGTATAACTGTATTCTCCAAACTCGCGTTTCCCTACAAAGGATTCATCAGTGACGGTCGATTTAAAAAAAAAATATATGGAACTTAGAATAATTGTTAAGATTGCCAATGAAACCACTCTCTTCAAGAGACCAAATGTCTTTGATGATAGAGACTACATGACACCGTACGTCACTCAACGCGGAGCAGAAATCTTCACCTCATAGACAATCAAAAACGTGAAAATCATCGGCATTATTTATAATGCATAAACCTATAAACCGAAAAGATAGCGTAAGAATAGATATAAGAAGATGTGGTATGAGTGCTAATGAGACAACTCTCTCATCAAAGTCACAGTTTGTAAAAGTAAACCATTATAGGTCAAAGTACAGTCTTCAACACGGAGCCTTGGATCACACCGAACAGCAAGCTATGAAGGGCCCCAAAAATGACATGTGTAAAACCATTCAAAGGGGAAAACCAACGGTCTAATCTATATAAAAAACGAGAAACGAGAAACACTTATGAACCACACCAACAAACAAGTTTTTCAGATACTTTTACTAATCGGTCAACTTGACTTATTTTGTTGACCCATTTTCTTCAAGACTATTTTGCCGACAATAATACAAATTTCCCAATCATGAATTTCATTGATAGAGGGTTGCTGCTCACAAAGAAGCTGTTAAACCAAGAGTTCCAAGTGGTGAAGTTAAAATCATCCCTCGTAAGTTTTACGGACGCCATCAAGAGTTGGTTGACCGTTATGGAATATCTGTTTCACAGATGATAGCGGATAGGTTTCAAATGTCTGAACTACAATCCTGTCCCCTTTTCCCTGAATGTGGCCTACCAAATTAGACTTGTTACCGGCTTTGTACTAACATGAGCAACACGATGAGTGCCACGTGTGTAGCAGGAAATACTTTTAAAAAAGAAGATGTGGTATGATTGCCAATGAAACAACTCTCCATAAGAGACCAAATGACACAGAAATTAACAGCTATAGGGCCCCGTACGGCCTTCAACAATGAGCAAAGCCCATACCGCATAGTCAGCTATAAAAGGCCCCGAAATCACAAATGTAAAACAATTCAAACGAAAAACTAACGGCCTAATTATTGTACAAAAAAAATAACGAAAAACAACAGCAACAAACACCAACCACTGAATTACAGGCTCCTGGGGACAGAAAACATACATACAGAATGTGGCGGGGTTATACATGTTACCCTTCCTGAGCACCTAAGATCACCCCAGTTTTGCTCAGTATGTTATGTTTTGTGTACTTTAATTGTTTGTGTGTTTGTCTTTTTCTTTTTTAGCCATGACGTTGTCAGTTCATTTTCGACTTCTGAGTTTCAATACCCCCTTGGTATCCTTCGCCTCCCTCTTTAGATGGAACATTTCTACTTGAAACCTTAGATTTTCCATTTTCCTTATCTATCTGTAAGCTTGAAACATTGTGTATGGTTTTATCCTGAGAAAATGCATAGCATCCTTGTTGAAGGTCTTGAAATAAATAATTGCTTTGAAATGTCAATTTTACATCTTTTTTTTGTATCGAGGCATATTATTTATTAATTTGAGTTGTTTAATTTATTTTTGAATTCGTTTCAGACTAATGATTTGTTGCCTTAGTTATGGCCCTTGAAAAAGGAAACTTTGAAAATATGTAGATACAAGTATTGTTACGATTTGCATGCATAAACTATCGAACTCGTGGTTGCAAATTCAGAAAATGTCATTGGCGTTAAATATCGATCATTCTAGGGCTTGAGCGAGCTTTTTTCTGTGGTATGGGTTTACTCACTGTTAAAAGCCGAGCAAAAACTGGTTTATAATGATCACACTTTTGATTATTGGCTTTACTGGATAGTCATCTAATGTACAAATATACCACACAAGTTTTACACGAAACCATTGGATTGGCATGAAATTTCTGATGTCTTCTGATTTTTTAGTCAATAAGAAGTCAAACTTTCCGCTATACGGTATTTGCATGTATAGATTAAAATACAAAACATAAGAAATAAAAAATTCTGATAAAAAAGTTTTAATGAAAGAAAAATACATCTTCCTGATGTGTAAAAACACAGTAAATACATTTAGAAAAGTGTCTTTTGTACCACCTTCAGAGGTATCTTTCCTTAAAAGTCAAAACGTATAGTCAAATTGGTAAGAAAAGAATTGTGAACATTATATGACATTAATATGTGTTTGTGTTCTTAAACATACAAATCTCTCTTATTGTTTTAAATATTATAAACGTTTGAATGAATTGTACAAGTAATCCATACTTTCACGACTACCCTCTGCCATTAAGGGCATACAATACAATTACAGGGGAGGTAATGGCGTTGCTAACGTAAAATGTAATTTTCGCGAGGTCAAACTGTGACATATCGGGAAATGACTGTTTTTTTTGTGATTTAAACTGATTTAACTTGAAAACGAGTACATGGACCCCTCTTTTTTAAAATTGCATTATGTTTGATTACGTATGAAGATTATTTGTACCAATTTTAATGAAAAAGTCAACATTGATTTTTTTTTAAAATTTGATAAATCTACCGCAAAAATTCCGTTTTTCCTAAGATTCCAAAACTTTGTTAAACATTAACTATTTTCAAAGAATTGAAGAACATACTAAGAGATGAGTAAAGAAGATTTTCATAATTTTTGTACAAAAATCCGCTTGTATTTATCTGTTGAAATAAAAAAGTTAGGTGTGTCTATCAAAAGGATAGAAATGTCCAAAAAACCGAAATTTTGACCCCTTTTATCTCTTAAAGTAGCACATGAAGGTATATTTTTATAACATAATTGAATTGCTTAAGTGAAAACTATAGCTTGTATGCAAATTTTCGTTAAAAAAACATCATGGGATCGAAACTGTATTGTATGCCATTAAAGAGAAACTATTAAATTTTTGAATGACCAGATTAATGTTAAATATACTTGAAAATTCATTCACTTTAGCTTAAATGTTTTACCTAGTATATGCAAGTCCTTTTTTGGATACCGGGAGGTGTAATCTACAAGATCCTACAAGGTAGTAAAATTCAAAACTTCTCCGTCTTATCTTCTTATGATAAGGGGTTCCAAAAAAATCTGATAACCTCTACATAAATCTCTATAAAAAGTAAAATTCGTAAAAGTTAATATTTGTATACATCATATCAAAAACTTTAAATGGAAAGTTAAAAAGTAACACAACTTCAAATAAAAAATGTTGAAATTAATATAAAAAGCACCTCTGGCAAAAGGGAAACAAACTACTAGGCTGTACCAACTGGTTTGCTGCCTTAACTAAGGTATACTCATTGATGATTGAATGGCATTGGTTCTTACAATTTTGGATATCAATCAAATGAAAATTACGATATTCTCAAAGCATTTTCTAAAAGCTATTTTCTCGCATTTTGTTTTTAATTCTATCATTTAGTTTATCTTCTGATCACATAATGCTGTTTTTCCCTGTATAATCCATACAAAATGTGTCATTTTGTCACAACCTGTAGTTTGAGAAAATGCTCGATGACCTTTCATATTTATTATATTTTTGAACATTTCACAATATATACTACGTTTTGGCGAAGTCTGAACAAATTCTATCATTTTTAATCTATACTCCCATACCACCTTAAAGACGATTTTCGACTCTTTTTTTTTTTGCGTTTTGTCATATATTATAGAAA